CAAGCCACGCCCACAGAACCGGTAGTTAAAAAAAAAATTGAATTTCACCACTGACACACTCCCCGGAAATCATCGGTGATTAAAAGAAGAATGTTATGCTTTATCTGTGGTTTGTATCTCATTCAGGCATCTGGGATTACAAAGCAAACCAATTCTCCTTCTGAGCCAAAAGCAGCTTTTTCCACAAGAACAAAATGTTCCAGACTTACTTCATCAATGCTTTCGACAGATGGCACGTTTTGTTTATGTGTACGAAGCTAAGGCCTGAAAAAAAAAAAAATCGCAGGAAGTCCAATATTCCATTAAGATTGTAGAGGTAGGCCTGAATAACGTCGGATAAAATATTGTCTCTTCCCAAAGCTTCCTAACGTGCTCGGATCCAAATCTGGCTTTTGGCTGGCAGGCAGGGATCATTCAAGTCAGCTTCGCGGCCGGCTCTATCTACAGGCAAAATCAGAAAACGGGCAGCTAATTATAACTTTCCCGAAAGAGCAATCAATTTATTACGCAATGCATTTTTATTTTGTGTTTATTTTGTATGTCCACCCTGGCTTCGATGCTGAACACCGTGATCCCAGTTAGGGATGTAAAAAAAAACCAAAACCTACTGGTCCAAAGTCTGAGCATTCTAGGGAACAAAATAAACATTTTCCTCCTTCCTGGACCATTAGAGAATAACAAAGTTGGAAGGGACCTTGGAGATAGAACATAGAACATAGAATCCTAGGGCTGAAAGGGACTTGGGAGGTCTTCTAGTCCAACGCCCTGTCTCCAAGCAGGAGTTCTTATACCATTCTGGACAAAGGGTTATCCAATCTCTTCTTGAAAACCGTTGTCTTAAAACTCTTTCTTGTTCTATTGTGATGTTCAGCTTCTTTGCAGTATAAGAGCTGAGGTGGCGCAGTGGTTAGAGTGCAGTACGCAGCTACTTCAGCTGACTGCTAGTTCAGCTGATCTGCGGATCAAATCTCACCGGCTCAAGGTTGACTCAGCCTTCCATCCTTCCGAGGTGGGTAAAATGAGGACCCAGATTGTTGGGGGCAATATGCTATTTAGTATACTGTCTTCGGTGTAAGCCGCCCAGAGTCCTTGGAGAGTGGGCGGCATAGATAATATAATAATAATAATAATAATAATAATAATAATAATAATAATAATAATAATAATAAAAATTGTGCCAAGATTAAGGAAGTTGAGGTTGTACGCTTGAGTAATTACAGCTGGGCACAAACATGGCCAATACTTGAAAAGTATTGAAGGCAAAGCTGCAGAAACTAACTTGGAACTGGTTGATCAGGAGTACTGAGAAACAGAAAGCTTTATTTTGGCAGCTCAAGAACAAGCCCTAGCCACAAACTGTTGAAGGATTCAACATGTTACCACCACAGCAATGCCGCCTCTGCAATAAGAGACAGTTGACCACCTATCAGTGGGTGCAGCAAAATTTCACAAACTGACTACCTACAACGCCATGAGTTGCTAAAAAAAATTGTGCCAGAAGTTTGGATTTGAGTACAGCAAAAACCACTGGGAACATCAGGTTGAGAAAGTTTTAGAGAATGAGAAACTCAAGATCTTGTGGGACTTTAGGATTCAGACTGACAGGCACTTGATCCACAACACACCTGACATAACAATAGTTGAAAAGAAAAAAGTATGGTTCATTGACATTGCAATACCTGGTGATGCATGGATTGAAGATAAGCAGCAAGAAAAAATCACAAAGTACCGGGATTTGCAAATTGAAATTGAGCGACTGTGGAAAAAGAAATCGTGTGTTGTCCCAATTGTAATTGAGCCCTCGGAGCAATACCCAAAGGGCTACCCCGCTATTTAGAAATTCTAAATTTGCCGGACTTGAACATTTTGACTCTAATTTTGACTCTACAAAAAACCACCTTACTCGGAACAGCTTATATCCTCCGACGATACCTTAACAGTTCCTAGGTCCTTGGTTAGGACTCGAGCTGCTGAGCTATTAACCAGCCTCAAAGGCTGTGAATCTCACTAAAGATTAACCAATAAATAATAATAATAATAATAATAATAATAATAATAATAATAATAATAATAATAATAATAATAATAATAATAATAATAATAATATCTTTTAGACAAAACCCTTGGCCTTTTCTTGCACTTGACTGGAGTTCGATGTTTAGATAAAATCCCCTGCCCAGGCAGGAAACCCCATACCATTTCAAACACATCGTTGTCCAATCTCTTCTTAAAAACTTCCAGTGTTGGAGCATTCACAACTTCTGGAGGCAAGTTGTCCCACTGATTAATTGTTCTCACCATCAGGAAATTTCTCCTTAGTTGCTTCTCTCCTTGATGAGTTTCCACCCACTGCTTCTTGTCCTGCTCTCAGGGGCTTTGGAGAATAGCTTGACTCCCTCTTCTTTGTGGCAGCCCCTGAGATAATGGAAGACTGCTATCATGTCTCCCCTAGTCCTTCTTTTTATTAAACTGGACATACCCAGTTCCTGCAACCGTTCTTCATATATTTTAACCTCCAGTCCCCTAATCATTTTTGTTGCTCTTCTCTGCTCTCTTTCTAGAGTCTCCACATCTTTTTTACATGATGTAAAAAAGATGTTTTCAACTCAACATTATGTTGAGATCTTTCTGGAAGTGATCCAGTTCTTCTCAGAATGGTACATGCTATATATCATATTACAAGTTCCGATATTTCTTGAGGGATCTCCCTGAGAAAAACCACCTTCTGTGATGGATAGATATTTGATCCGTATTATTTCTTCAGCCTTTAGAGTTAAAGACTTTTCATTGTTGGTGAATTACAACTTCCAAGATCCATGGTCATTAGCTACTCTGGTCAAGATTGCTTGTAAATCAAAAAGCAGCAGCATCTAGAAGGCCGCATTACACACACATACAAACACATACACACAGAGAAGGAGGGAGAGAAAGAATGTACATCACTCTGCTTTGGAAGATAGGATTAATAGCCTTCTTCAACCAACAGTTATGTCTTGTTGCCTAATATCAACCCTTCAGGGTAGATCAGATTGGAATCAAAGTTATGAATGCTAATTGTTGTTGTGGTTAGTTACGAAGTCGTGTCTAACCCATCGCAACCCCATGGACAATGTTCCTCCAGGACTTCCTGTCCTCTACTATCCCTCGGAGTCCATTTAAACTCACGCCGACTGCTTCAGTGACTCCATCCAGCCACCTCATTCTCTGTTGTCCCCTTCTTCTTTTGCCCTCAATTGTTCCCAACATTAGGCTCTTCTCCAGTGAGTCCTTCCTTCTCATTAGGTGGCCAAAGTATTTGAGTTCCCTCTTCAGGAGCTGGCCTTCTAAAGAGTAGTCAGGATTGATCTCCTCTAGGACCGACTGGTTGGATTGCCTTGCAGGGCTGGAGAGGAGGCCTGCTGGCCATCGCACCTGTGCGATGCATTTATGTATTGATATTTTATATTTATGCTTTCAATAGATACCTAGGAAAGAAGCTTACCTCTTCCATCAGCTGCCGTAACTGCTCACCCTAGATCCAACTGCACACCTACACCATAGTAACAAGTGCTTCTCCCATGTCAACAGACTCACTTATAATGACATTTCCAAGCATTCCTACACAGTAAGTTCTTCATGCTCCTGATCACAATTAGCCTTTCGTTGCTAATCCAAAATTACTCACAAAAGTGACTCAGCAAATTTTCAAGCAAAATAATCATTGCTGAATTAGGGACCATAGGAGAAGGAGGAAGCAAAACCTGAAGGCAACGTTAAAAGAGTTGCAAGAACTGAGCATGGCTAGTCTAGTGAAGAGAAGGACCAGGGATGACATGATAGCAGTCTTCCAATCGTTGAGGGTCTATCACAGAAAAGAAGGGGACGATCTATTTTCCAGAGCATCCAAAGGCCACATAAGTAGGGGTGAAATCCAGAAGATTCTAACAGGTTCCGGAGAACTGGTAGCGGAAATTTTGAGTAGTTCGGAGAACCAGCAAATACCACCTCTGGCTGGCCTCAGAGTGAGGTGGAAAAGGAGATTTTGCAATATCCTTCCCCTGCCACGCCCATCAAGCCACCCCCACAGAACTGGTAGGGAAAATCTTTGAATTTCACCCCTGCACACAAGGAACAGTGGATGGAAACTGATCGAAGAGAGATTCAACCTATAAATAAGGAGAAATTTTCTGACAGTGGGAACCATCAACCAACGGGAACGGCTCGTCTTCGGAGATTGTGGATGTTTCATCAGTGGAGGCTTTCAAGAAGAGACTGGAGAACCACTTGTGAAAAAGGGTAGAGGGTCTCCAACTAGAGCAGTGGGTTGGAGTAGATGACCTATAAAGTCCCTTCCAACTCTGTTATTCTGAATTAGGGACCATAGGAGAAGAAGCAGCAGAACCTGGAGGCGGAGTTAAAAGAGGGATCAGCCTAGAATTCCTACATAGCCACAAGTGAGCTAAGTTCAACCTCCCTTGAATTCCATTGACCCTTATCTAACTCTTAACCATGGTGCTAACCATTAGTTGAGAAGATTTGTGTGCATAGGTTTTTAGCAATAAATCAGTTTAATTGAACCCTCAGGTAGGACCTTTCTTTCCCCACCTGATGGGAACACATGAATTCAAACCAAAAGAAAAGCATAACAGAACTGAACACTCGGTCTTACTCATATGTTTTTAACATTTATATTACATTTTTGTTAATATCACTCTCCCCATTCCCACTCAGTTGTATGAAATCTTCGCGTACATTTTTAATCCAGCCCAGTTTTATTGCATTTATTATTATTTTTTTAAAAAAAATCGCCATTTCTTTCAGCAACGCATTCTGCATTTTGAACCAAAGCACCTTTGTATGGATTCTCTTGTATCTTCCACAAACCTGGTGTAAAATTCCAGCTTCCCCCACATAATAACTACTTGTTCATCTATTAAAGGCTTAGAGATTCCTGATGCTTCAAATCGACTGAATCCTTTGTTCCAGAAAAACCATAAATACCGCAAAAGGACTATAATCCATGCCAATGTAATATTTTTTATTTTATGCCATGCTTTTAAAATGCCCCAGTTTGTCTGGGAATTATAAAGAATTGAAAGGCAAATTTAAAATTAACTGTAGGGTAGTATAGGGTTTTTTTTTCTCCTGATTTTAAAGCCACGGTATAATTTTATTGTTTGTAATTTTGTGGACACCCATCCAGGGATCTCTTTTAATGGCAGTGGTGCAAAACCTAGGGAATTGTACAAATAAATACTTTGGCAAAAGCAGCATTTCAGTTCCCTATTTCTCTGAGCTATCACAGTTAAACTATCCTGGGGAATTTTCACTTAACTTTTAAACACAAAGCAACACAAAGAATTTAAAATTATTTCTACGCCTGACCCGAGAGCCAGCTTTTTCTTTCCTAGTGGTTAAAGTACCAGCTAGAAACCAGGAGGCTGTGAATTCTTAGGGACGACAAAGCTATTTGGGCCAGTCAGTCTTTCCAAGCTCTAGGAAGAAGACAATGGCAAACCACTTCTGAAAAAAAGAGAAAAGAAGTTAATCAGGGCAGTTGCTAGAAGTCAAAATCCTGGTTAGAAAAACTAAAGTGGATTGGGGTAGGAGTTCTATTAACCTGAATTTGACAGATTTGGATTACCTGAGTCTAGATGTGGCGACCTTTGTAAATTCAGCTATACCTCAAATTTCAACTAATGTTCTTTTTCTTTCTTTCTTTCTTTCTTTTCTTTTTTTTTGAAGCCACACTTCATGCTTATGCTAGCCACACTTCATGCTATATGATAAACCGAAACTAAGCAAATCACATTAGCCGAATGCATAAGCCCAGGAGTTCATAACGATTATACCTACAGTATTTAACTACTAGCTGGGATCAGCACGTATATAACGTCTACATTCCCTCCAATTATTTTCATAAGCATTAAAATTCACTGGGTAGTTACTTATCTGTTAGTTGCTCGGCTGAAAACAGAAAATCAACAAGACAGACTGAATTGAAACTGGGCTGGATTTTAACAAGCTTTGAAAACCAAGCCCTTGGCCGACCTTGGAATCTCATCAAGAGCCTCGCAAAAGCTTGCATGCTGATATATATATATATATATATATATATATATATCATATATATATATATATTCATTCCCTGGCAGGTTTCCCGCAATTTCGGAAGTGTTGGGTTGCTTTTCAACACCCTCAGTCACTTTTCTGCTCCTCTGCTGTTATTTTTATTTACCGCGCTAATTTGTTTACTTGTTCCTAAACTCACTATTGATTTAAATTAAGCTCACCAAGGCTCATTAGCTCTCAAAACTTGCAGTTGGTTTCAGCTCCATTTACATGCTCAGGGTTTGCACATGGAAATACCTGAGTTGTTTTAGCATCTGTTGTGCTGGTAAACAATTCAGCGGCCACTCCTTTTTTCAAAAGGCGTAAGAAATAGATAGATAGGTAGATAGATAGATAGATAGATAGATAGATAGATAGATAGATAGATAGAGAAAGAGAAAGAAAGAATATGCACATAAAAGCCTACAAAAAAGAAAAAGAAACATTGTACCTTTACAGGGAGGATACTTGAGAAGAGGGTGTGGCTCACTGATGACGCCTTACAAGGCAGAAATAACTATCTGAGTCTCCCAATGAGCAGCACAGAGTTGCTGTTTGTCAGCAAGATACAAAAAGCCCAGAAACTTGTGAATGAGATTTCACAGAACCAGGGCTGCAGAACATCTTAGCTTACGTAGGTAAAACCTGGCTAGAAAGAATATATATATATCTTCTTAAGTTTTTGCGGGTGTTAATTATGCGAGTAAATAATGCGAGTTAAAATCTCTGGTGTTTTCCCCTTGTCATTATAAGTTTGTTAGTTAAAATGTTTAAAATCCTGGCTAAGATCACAGCTCAGAATCCTCTAAATTCCCAAACAAAACCCTTTTTAAGGTCTTTCAAAAACTCTGGCTGAAATCCTAACCAACACTTTAAGGTTAGGCAACGTTTCGACAAGCTCTCTACCTTGTCATCTGCGGGCCTTTATTATCAGTTTAGAAGCTGTGGGTCCTGCTTCATTATCCTAGCTGCAGCCTGAATGTGCGTTAAAGGTCCAGTTTTCTCTGGCTCCCTATTACCAACTGTCAACTGCAAAGAGGTAAGAATTCTAGTAGGCATCACAATACCACTGGTTGCCTGTTGAGATCTTAGCATATCTTCTGGCTTGTTTCTCTCTCTCTCCCTATTGCTAGCTATCGACTGCAAAGAGGAAAGGGTTCTTGTATGCATTACAACACCACTGGTTGCCTGTTGGGATTTCTGCCTATCCTCTGATGTTAAAATTTGGCTTGAACCAAATTTTGAATTATTATTACTATTACTATTACTATTACTATTATTATTATTATTATTATTATTATTATTATTATTATTATTATTATTATTATTATTATTTGAATGGGTAGGTTTGGGAAATAAACCTAGCATGTGGCAATGCAACATTTCCTAGATATGGCAAAAGGGAAGGGGCTCACAACTACACTGCCAACACAACCGCACTGTGTATGAGTGTCACAACTTCATCTGACAAACTTACCACATTGTCATGGCAACACAATTTCTAGCATTTTCTGTTTTTGAAAGGGTGGGTGCACAGAGATCTGTAGTGAACAGCAACCTCAACCTGTATTGAGAATCCCAGGTGGATAAAACAAAGCCATTCAGGAGCATCCTGACCAGAGCTTCTTGTTCAAAATCTCACAATGGGATCAAAGAAGAAACGCTGAGATATGGATCAAGACATCAGATCAATTATTAATTAATGCATTAATACATTATTTAGCTTCGCTGGAGGAAGCGCGCTCAGCTTGCCTGGAATTTTAGTATCAGTCTTGGAAAGGGTAAAGCCAACAACTGTGAGCTCGGAGTTTTTAATGCCACCGTCCCAGGCTGAACAAGATGAAAGCGAAATTGTTACGCCGTGAGAAACTTTCCGTGTTGGAAACAGCTGGGGAAAAAGGAGAAGTTTGGCCAACTCTTCAAAGGAGCTGCCTATGCTCAGCTAGCCATCTTTTCTTTGAGGAGATCAAACTGGGTCACGGAAAATGTAGGGGGGACCACCAAGATTAGGAGACCTCTGGAAGGTCCTTCAGGTCCCCTTAAACTTACCAATATAATAAAACCAGTGGTGGAATTCAAATTTTTTACTACTGGCTCTGTGGGCGTGGCTTGGTCGGCATGGCAGGGGAAGGATACTGCAAAATCCCCATTCCCTTCCCACTCCTGGGGAAGGATACTGCAAAATCCCCATTCCCTTCCCACTCCTGGGGAAGGATACTGCAAAATCCCCATTCCCTCCAGGGGTGGGTTCTACTTACCTTTACTACTGGTTCGCAATGGGACCATGCACAGAAGCTTCCTGATGACATCAGGGTCGGTGGGTGGAGCCTCCCGCCGGTTTTACTACTGATTCTATAGAACCAGTCCAAATCGGGGGCAACCCACCACTGATTCCCTCCCCCATCCTGGGGAGCATTTGCCGGTTCTCTGAACTACTCAAAATTTCCACTATCAGTTCTCCAGAATCTGTCAGAACCTGCTGAATTTCACCCCTGCATAAAACAGTATGTTATTTATACCTCACGCTAAGCCAACATTTCTGAGAAATTAGAGGAATGTGACATGCTCAGACAACCAGTGGTAGGATTCCAAATCTTTTCTTACCGGTTCTATGAGAGAGTGCTTCGTGCACGTGCGCAACACTCAAAGACCGCCCTCGGTGTCAGCACTGGTGAGCTGAGCTGTTGTTTAGCTCAGCTGAGGCGCAGCAATCCTCTCTGCTGCGCGGATCAGCTGCTGAGGTAAAAAACAAGGGAATATAGGACAGGGAATGCGGGGCCAGCCAGAGGTGGTATTTGCCGGTTCTCCGAATTACTCAAAATTTTCATTATCAATTCCCCTGAATCGGTCTGAACCGGCTGAATACCACCTCTGCAGACAACAGGAGTAGACAAGAGACCACAAGAGCTGCTTCCATGAGGAGAAGGACTGAGAGGTAACATGATAGCGGTCTTCCAATATCAAGGGGCTGTCATAGAGATGAAGACGGAGGTCAACCTATTCTCCAAAACACTAGAGGGCAGGACAAGAAGTAATGGACTTTATCAAAGAGAGGCCCAACCTGAAACTAAGGAGAAATGTTCTGTCAGTGAGAATGAATTAAACAGTGTTAACGACTTACCTCCAGAAGTTGTGAATGCTCCAACACTGGAACTTTTTAAGAAGAGAGTGGACAACTATTTGCTTGGAATGACAAAGGGCTTCCTGCCTGACCAGGGGGTTGGATTAGAAGACCTCCAAGGTCCCTTCCAATTCCGTTAATCCGTATTCTGATCTGTTCATTGCCATGTTGGAGAGAGGCTCCATGGGTCCACTAAATTGTCCTTCTTCACAGCCTTGCATATTATTTTGTTTACAGCTAAAGGTTAAAAACTAGCCTTTATTTCATTTACTAGGGTCTCCATAAGAGGGACACGGTGGCTCAGTGGCTAAGATGCTGAGCTTGTCGATCGAAAGGTCGGCAGTTCAGCGGTTCGAATCCCTAGTGCCGCGTAACGGGGTGAGCTCCCGTTACTTGTCCCAGCTTCTGCCAATCTACCAGTTCAAAAGCATGTAAAAAATGCAAGTAGAAAAATAGGGACCATCTTTGGTGGGAAGGTAACAGTGTTCCATGCACCTTTGGCGTTGAATCATGCCGACCACATGACCATGGAGACGTCTTCGGACAGTGCTGGCTCTTCGGCTTTGAAACGGAGGTAATCACTGCCCCCTAGAGTTGGGAACGACTAGCACCTGTGTGCGAGGGGAACCTTTACCTTTACCTTAGGGTCCCCATGTCTCTGCCTCAGGATCCTGATGTTATCCCGAGTTGAATAAAATAGCTGGAGTTTGTTCTTGAATTGTAAACTATGTCTCCTTTGGGACTGGCAAATCTGGGATAGCAGTTGGAACAACACAAGAAACAAACTTCCAGAAATGAGAAAGGTGTATGTGGTTGTGTGTGCATTTGTGTTTGTGTGCGTGTGCGTGTGTGAGAGAGAAAGAGAAAGGGAGAGGGCAAGAGAAAGGGAGAGAGAGTGAGAGTGAGAGCGAGGGAGAGGGGAAGAGAGGGAGAGGGAGAGAGGGAGTGGGAGAGGGAGAGAGAGGGGGAGAGGGAGAGAGGGAGAGGGATAGAGGGAGAGGGAGAGGGAGTGAGAGCGAGAGAGAGAGAGGGAGAGAGAAAGAGAAAGGGAGAGGGAGAGGGAGAGAGGGAGAGGGAGAGAGAGAGAGAGCGAGAGAGAGAGAAAGGGAGAGGGAGAGAGAGGGGAGAATGGGTACTGGCTTGTTCTTTTCTCTTTTAATGTCCTCAGAAGCTTTCTATAAATGCTTTTGCCCTCATCCTTCATATGCTTTCGCTCAGCCACTTCAATTACAAGACTAAGCCAGATTTCTCACAAATCAATAGCTTTCTGTCAATAGCTTTTTTATCTATAGGCCACCCATACCAGGACTGCTCACTGTAAAACCTTTGGACAGGACACAAATCAATTTGTCTGTGCTTGATCTACAAGGGTAGATCGCTTGGCAAGGAATGACGGAATGCTGGAAGAGAATTGCAAGGGAAGAATTATGTACTCCGGCCCATTCTTCACCTAACTTTTGTGTTGGTGTATCATGGGCTGTGTGAAGAGCATCCGAAGTACAATGCCCATTTTTCCCCCTGAATAAATGGCTCTATCCATCAACTAAAGAACCTTTATATGTATCGTCACTTCAACAGGCATTTGATATTTCTTAGACCTAAAGAAGAAACCATCTAAGAGATGCTTGAAAGGCTTAAAAAAATCGAACAATTGCTGATGGGGAAGATGCAACCTCCTGAGTTAGTTATAAATTGCTTTGGCCTCCATTAAAGAATCGCCATTTTTAACACACAGGGCCACAATGGAAAAAAATGGAGCTGAGCTCGTTAGCGTTTGTCAATGGAATTTAAAACTTGGGGCTCTTAAAGTTGGCTCGAAGCATTGCAACGAGCAATGAGAAATTGCAGCCAATTTGGCCTCTTGCCAAATCTAACGATAGTCAAGGTGCCTTCTCAGGCCAGCATCACCCTCCATGGAAACCAGAGTGATACTACTGTGATGTCTTGCTTCTGGATTAAACGGGAACATGGGAGCAAAGAAGCCTGAAGACCACTGGAAAGGTGATTGCGCAATAAGAAACAGATGTTCGTTTATGCTGCTAGGCTATCATAAACTCCATAAATGCAACACTTCAAGAAATAATTCCAGAAGCTGAAAATTCCAAGATCTTACCAGAGACATTTAATAAAGAATTGCAACATTTAATTGTGAATATTTTAACAGTGGCTTGAATTGTATTTGCTAAAAATTGGAAAGGAGAGAAGATAATTACTGTTGAAGAAATTATCAAGAAAATGTTGGACTGTGCTGAAATGAGTAAACTGACATTTGAAATAAGAGAACGGGAAGATAAACAATATTATTTGATATGGGAGTTATTTTATCAATGGATAGATAATAAAACATGGAGATGAAATATGATATATGGAATGAAATTAAGATAAAATCTGTAAACACTTTTTTCTTTTAGGGGAAAAGTACATTTGTCATATATTGATACTTTGAAGATTTTTGGGAGCACGAAAGGATTTTAACCGATCGAAACACTGTCTGTAATTGTTTGAAAGGATGATGTTTTTTATGTTGTT